ACCCCAGAAGTCTGGGCTGGCCCTGGGAGTGCACAGGTTTATAAGCACTGCAGTGCCCTAACGCTTGGGCAGGCTCAGCAGTGTGGCGTTTGGAGACCAGCGTCAGTTGCTGTTGTCAGCTCAGTGTGCACCAAGCTTTCGTGGGAAGACTGAAATTTCCAGAAAGGGGGTATGTACAGAGGAGGAGGTAGAGTGGAGCTTTCTATAAAGAGCAAGAAATTGGCAAAACAGGAGGTGCTGATTCCCAGGAAGGACAGTCACCGAAGCAGCTCTCCAGAGCTGGGGATGGAGGAGGAGTCGCACCAGCGCCTTCCCATAGGACGGCCCGCTCAAGTCAGGGCCGGCAAACATCAGCCCGGAGCCAAGGCCGCGCCCTGGAGGAGAAGGCAGCACAGCTAGATGACTCTCAAGGAAGGATGATAAGGAGAATGTCTGTCCAGGAAAAGCTGCTCTCAGGATGCTGTGGCCAAAAGAACCAGAGTGATGCTTAGCGAGCCCCAGATTCGGGCCTCTGCTCTGACTCAGAGGGGCTGTGTGGCCTTGGGCAAGTTCTTTGACATCTCTGAACCTGCATCTTCATCTGACAGGTGCCCCACAAATCCAAGTCCCCAGTCTGACTGCCAGGGCCTTCTGCCTTTGTGGGCTGCCCCTCATAGGACATGAGAGAAGCCCAGGGAGAGCCTTGCTGAATGTTCCAAACGTCCATCAACCTTTTGCAGCACTGTCTGGGGAAAGAAAATCCCAGGATGGTCACAGCAGGCCAGGGATGTGGTTGAAGGCCTGAGGTTGCAGCCCTTCCTCAGAAGGAGCCCAAGGCCCACTGTCCAGCCACGTGTGGGCTGAAAGCAAAGGCCTTGCGACAGGCATGGGTTGTTGTCCCACAGGCCCTGGGGGAAGGACAGTGGGTACCAGGCCCAGCGCCATGCCCAGGTCAGCATTTCAGGTTGCAGGGGTTCAGCCCAGGTGTCTGGGCTCCTGGGTCTTACAGTGTCTATAGAGTCATATGTGTGTGTCTCCGTCCCTCTCTTTACCTCTGAAACTGTGTTTCAGGATCCATTTTCCTTTTGGCAAAAAAATAAACCTCATGAAAGGTAGTACTGCATGCATCCTTTTTAGGGAGGTCATTTGCTGACATTATACCTGCATATATACACACAGACACATGTTTCTTAAAAAGAGAAACTTGCAGTGGTTCAACTTAAAATTTTTCAACTGCATGGGGCAATACACATTCAGTACATTCCTCGACTTACCACGGATATGTCCAAATAAACCCATGGTAAGCTGAAAATATCAAAAACACACTTTTGACTTAATGGTATTTTCAACTTACATTGGATTTTTTGGGACCTCGAGGAGCGCACATCACCTGCAGTGAGCTTGTAACATGCAAGTGCCCTACACAAGACCAGTCCAGTCAGCCGTGGGCCCTCAAAAGCTCAAGAGTCTGGCTGGCGGGACACGCTGCAGAGCTGCTGCTGGCTCAGGCAGGTGGGAAAATTCAAAGTGAGACAGAAGCCTGGGAAAGACATCCAGTGGCGTCCAGTGCCTAGGCAGGCCCTGGGTGGTGGAGTTGGTACAGGGAAACTGGGTGTGCAGGTCTGGAGTTAGGTCAAGGATAGAGGGTACAACAGAGACAGAACAAGAGGTGGCAGCTTAGGGAGAGTGATGGAAGCTTTGATTTATGTGGGAGCAGATAACATTCGGGACAGATTGTGGAACTGGAAGGCATCTGGCAGTTTGGGTTTTATTAGGCAGTGAGGAACCATTTTGAACAGAGGACAAGAATACTTAGAGGGGTGACCAAGCTTCCTAAATACAGGATGGACTGAAAGGAAGACCAGAGAGGAGGTGGGACCAAGGCCGGCTGGAGGAGCAGGGAGGTGGCAGCACTGAGCAGCCGGCAGAAGGGCACAGTCAGGAAGGGGAGGCTGGGGATGGCGACTGCATCCAGTCTCCCTGGGAGAGTCAAGATGTAGGAAGCAGAGCAGCTCTCTGGACTTGAGGGTGTGTCTGATGGAGACTCACTTGGAGAAGTGGTGCTCAGGAGACACTGAATCGGGAGTTGACACTCAAGGTGAGTTCCAGACCAGGAAGGAAGAGTCTAGAAGGAACTTCCCAGGGGCCAATCAAGGAGGATGGCCAGCCAGCCAGCCAGCGTTAGGAGGAGCAGGATGGCTACCCAGGGTTGAGAGCCAAGGGCGCTGTGTGAGGTGACCAGGGACTGCAGGTCACCAGCGGAGCAGGAGAAGGAGGCAGCTGGCATGTGCTGAAGGACTGGGTGAGGGCAGGCACCCAGGGACAGCAGGAGGCAGAGGCCCGAAGTGTTAGGGCAGCAGCGAGGGGCCAAGGGCAGGAGCCACAGAGATGAAGCAGCTCTCTCTGAGCAGGAAGTGGGAAGGAGTCTCTGTGCGTGTGTGGTGCGGGGAGCGGGGTGAGAGAGGAGGCCAGCGGCAGAGCACAGTGACAGCACCGCACCTCTTCTCCTCTAAACATCAGAGTTTTAATGCAGTAGACATGGAGAATTCTTTGTACATTTGAGTTTCCTAAAACAGTGCTTTGAATGTAGCAGGCATTTCATAAATGCCATCTGAGCAGACAGAAGGATTTGCGGCCAGTTTAATCCTAAGTGTTTGCTGAGGTCTGATACTCTGCAATTGCCTCTTTTAACTTCAGCATCTTGAAGGTTCAGAGACATTCTTTTCTGCAGTAAGCCAGAGAACTAAGAGCTGGAAAGGGCCTCTGAGATGCCCTCATCTCCCCACCTCGGGGAGGGGAGGGGTCTTTCCGGAGCCCCCACAGCCTAGACAGGGCCCCCCGCCAGACAGGTCCGCCTGCCCCGTAGGCCTCACCACTCAGCCTCAGTCTAATGAGTTCTTCACCTCCTCCCTCGGCTTATTCTTGTAGGAGATGGGACTTCTAGAAGCAGCGAATTAAAGAAAAGATGTGAAGAGCTGGAAGCCCAACTGAAAGTGAAAGAGAACGAAAATGCTGAGTTGTTGAAAGAACTGGAGCAAAAAAACGCGATGATCACAGTGCTGGAGAACACCATCAAGGAGCGGGAGAAGAAGTACCTGGAGGAGCTGAAGGCCAAGAGTCACAAGCTGACCCTGCTATCTAGCGAGCTGGAGCAGCGGGCCAGCACCATCGCCTACCTGACCTCCCAGCTGCACGCCGCCAAGAAGAAGCTCATGAGCTCCAGCGGGACCTCAGATGCCAGCCCGTCAGGGAGCCCCGTGCTGGCCAGCTACAAGCCAGCGCCCCCCAAAGACAAGCTACCTGAAACGCCTCGCCGCCGCATGAAAAAGAGCCTCTCAGCCCCCTTGCACCCGGAATTTGAAGAGGTCTACAGATTCGGGGCAGAGAGCAGGAAACTCCTTTTGCGGGAACCAGTGGATGCTATGCCCGACCCTACCCCATTTCTACTGGCTAGGGAGTCCGCCGAGGTCCACCTCATCAAAGAGAGGCCCCTCGTCATCCCCCCCATCGCCTCTGACCGAAGCAGCGAGCAGCACAGCCCGGCCCGCGAAAAGCCGCACAAGGCCCATGTTGGGGTGGCGCATCGGATCCACCACGCCACCCCGCCGCAGGCCCAGCCCGAGGTGAAGACCCTGGCGGTTGACCAGGTGAACGGAAGCAAGGTGGTGAGGAAGCACTCAGGGACGGACAGAACTGTGTGAAGCCCGCCGGGCCCCACCCCGCGCTGTCCATGCACTGTGAGCACCACTAGGAAATCTCAGCCACACCTTTTCTGTTTAATTCCCATGCATGCCAAACTCTTTTCACACCTACCGACCAATTCTCCTGCTCCTCTTGCCCTCTTCTTCACACCAAAATATGATTGTGTCCCTGCTGCAGAATATGTATTTCCTAATTGCTGTGGCCAAACGCCTGTGTGCCGAATCGCTTGCTTCTGATCCCGCTCCGTGTAACCTAAGTGCGCTGCGGACAAAGCCCCGGCCACGGCTGCGTCACTCCTGATGTTCACAATGCCACATAGTCACACACCTAATTAATTCTCAAGTCGGAGAAACACATACCATCCTTGACCTTATCCTCAGGCTCCAGGGCAGCCTGGCCGAGCAGCCCCTGCTCCCTCCTGGAGACCCCTGTCACCTCCTGACTTCCTCCTGGAGACCCCGTCACCTCCTGACCAACCTTTCCCAGGGCGGCACCGATCACCGAGCAGCCGTGCGTGTATCTCAAGGAACTAAATAAGATGACGCTACTCCTCATGGCACTACAACCTGAATGTGTGTTCATATTTTTTTTGTTTTATCCAAAATGTTTACGATCCCAACAAACTTTATTTTCTAAACCCGCCTTCCTTCTGTTTTGTGTCTTTTATTAAACACCTGAAGGAGGGCTAGGAGACTGCAGGAGGGAGAGCAATCCCAGGTCCCAGAAGCCACTCCTGCTTCCTCCCTGCCCAGAGCTAGTCCTTAGAATGTGCTGCGCTCCTGAGCTGCTGTGGGAAGCTGCTTTTGCCTCTGATGGCGTCTGCCCACTGTGCTGCCCTTGCGAGCCCCTCGTGGAGTGAAGCCACCCCTCGTCTCCAGGTGGCCAGCCAGGGCTCCAGGCCAGCCTTGTCGTGCACAGAGGGAAGGGGTGCCCAGTGACCGCTGGTCGTGGAGGTTCCATGTCCTCACCTGACCCCACACAGACCCAGGCAGGCTGGGGGTGGAAGCTCATGCAGGAACTAAACACTAAGCTCAACAACCTCACAGTCACTGTAGCAGGTCAGAGCCAAAGAAGCTAGGGCCAGAGAGTTGTGGAAGTGGGAGAAGTGGCTCCAGGTGACTCTGGCCACTTCTGCTGTGTGCCCGACATCATCAGCCCTTCTTGCCAAAAAGGAGCATCTGCGGAAACAGACCTGGATCGTCGAAAACACACTTTTGGAAATGACATTAGGATTCTCACTTGTGCCAATGCTGTGTGTTTCAGGCACTTTTGCTTAATCAAGTGTTTTCTCTGAGAAGGAAAAGAAAACTCCACACACCTTAAAATACTCTCCAAGATTTACTTTGTGATCATATAAATTCCTTTTAAAAAGTAGTATTAAAAATAAAACCATTCAGGTTAATTTGTATGGAAAGAGATTTAAATGGCTGATTTCAAATGAAAAATCAGTGTCAGTCCCCCTCCTGCCTCTTGAGAGGCCCCAAGAAATGACAGCAGACCTGATCACTCTTCCCAACCAGCCCGAGGCTCCGAATTCATTAAGCAGTTTTCTTCACCCAAAGGTTAATCAGAATTCAGGGTGAGGCATACTCCTTGCAGCACCCAGTGAGAAATGTGCCTCGTGGTAAAGAGATCAGCTTCAAACACCAAGCCGACTCCCATGGCGTTCCTTCTCATGGAGGTGGTGTAGACGGGGGTCCGGAAGGTATTCTGCAAGGGAGAGGCAGGGGAGGCGCCCCCATGGAGAGGGGTGCAGAGGGATAAAGGCAAAGGGGCAGTGTAAGTCTTGACGGGCCCCCGTGCAAGACTGCACCTGAGAACACACGAGGCTGGGGCTGTGCAGGGCTAGCTTCACGGGGACCTGACTTCACACTGACACTGGTTAAAAGTGGGCCCTGGCCCAGGCAGAGCAGAAGGCATGTGCTGTCCACACCAGAGGGAACCACTTTATGACTCAGGCAACGTCTGCAGCATTTTGCAAGGGAGGGAGTCTCCCCTTGGTTAGTCTTGACCACAGGATCACAACTTGAGCCTGACACCTCTGGAAGGATCGGCGTCCACACACGTGCAGCCGCGCCTTTCCTGGGAAGCGGCTATCCAGAGCTTTTATCACGGCTCCAAGACTCTCCCCAGCCCATAAAGCTTAGGCACCCCTGTTTTAAAAAGCAGGACTATTGGAAACCACCTCAGCCATAACTACAGTCAGAAGAGGAAGGGCTCTAGTGTCAGAGAGGAGGGGCTGGGACCTTCACCTGCAGCTTGAGGCGATGGGCTTCAATGGGGATGATCTTCAGGATCGGCAGGTCCACAACCAGCACCTTGGGTTTGCTCTTGATAAGACATCCTTTTTCTATATCCCAGTCAGCACCCTCCAGGTACAGTCCTGAGACAAAGCACCCTAGAGACACAAGGAAGAGACTGGATACAACCGGAGCATCCACAGCCTGCCATCAGGTGCACACAGCGACACACACAAGCCACTGGCTGGCCTCCTCCCCAGCGCCCTGGGGACAGCCCAGGCCCTTCTCCAGCGCTTCTGTCCTGCCCACCTTCCCTCTGTGGAGGAGCGACTCAGACAGGACACCCCGTGGCCCTCCCCCAGGGCCCAGAGAAGTGGGTGCGGGGCGGTGGCCTCTCCCCCAGGAATGAGGCATCAAGGTCGACGGACTTAGACCACCCTGGGCCCCCAGGCTAGGAAGATGCATGGCACCAGAGTCAGAATGGGCACCATGGCAACCCCGGCTACCCTGGGAGCCGAAGTGGCTGGGGAGCAGGAAGTAGAAGCCTCACAGAGAAAGTGGTCCCCGGGGAGGAGGACCCAGCAGACATAAAAAGAGGAGAAGAGAGGAGCACACGCCTGTGGCCCCAGAGAGAGTGGCGGCCCAGACACCTGCCAGCTGCCCCGCCACTGAGAGCTGGAGAGTCCCTACATCTTTACTGTAAGTCCCCACTCCTTAAGCCATCTCAAAAGAGCTTTTGTTCCTTGCAGTTAAATGAACTCTTAAGACAACATGGCCCCGGGGAAACAGCAGTTTCCAGTTCTCGTTTACACAGTCAGTAACCATTGTCTAAAGGACCTGAAGTTATGGCATAATCAAAGAGTTCCAACCAAGTTAGTCCACACTGCTCTGTGGCTCCCATGCCCCTGGCCCTGTCAGGGGTTACAGGAAAGCCACCTGATGGTTTCTGCAAGAGCTAATTCTGCCCTAGGAGCCCACTTCCCATGAGCTAGCAGAGTGAACATGGTTCAGGTCTCCCCTGCCATAGACCCCAGGTCTCAACGGAGAAAGTGGAAGAGAAACTTCTGTATCCACCCTCAGAGGTGTTACGACATGGGCAGTGCACAGACAGGAAATATTTTTGGCAGGCTGCCTTTCAAACATGGCCTGGCCCATCGAGGCCCACGCTATGCCTATCCCTTTGACTTGGAGGTGGCTCAGGGAGAGAAATCCTAAGTGAGAGGCTGTGGATCCCTGATGAGCTGACGGTACCTTGTCCCGCCCGCTCATTCACTTCATCTGCGTCCCGGAACTTGGTCACTTGTGTGAACAAGGTGGAGCGGTCCAGCGGCCAGCCGTTCTTCCGGCAGGTGGCCTGCACCAGCGCCGTGAGGTAGGACTCAGGGATGTGCAGCCCCGAGAGCCACATCACGCTGGGCTCACCCTCGGTGACCTGGAGAGAAGACAGGGCAAGTGCTGGGAGCCTGGGGCTGCCATCCAATGCCAGGTCAAAGCTGGCCTGGAAGTTAGTTTATGATAAAAGACGTATTTCACCTGAGTGGCAAAAGATGGCGTTGGCACAACTGGCCACCCATTTGAGAAAAACAATCTGGACTGCCACAGTCCAGGTAGATCAAAGATTTAGATATAAAAGTAAAACCACAAAAGTACTGGGCCACATCCCCAGTGAATGCTTTCATATCATGGAGTAGGAAATACAAAGCCCAGGATAACAAAGAAAAGCCTTATAGGTTTGACTACGTGAAAATGTGAAGCTTTTCTGCGGAAAAAATAATGTAAGCCAAGTCAAGACTTACGACAAGCTGGGAGAAATACAGACCAAGGGCTAATTTCTTTGATTTGCAAAGAGCTCTTAACCATCAGTGAGACGATGGAGACCTTACTAAAAATGAAATCCAGATACAAAAGGACAATTCACAGAAAAAGCCAACACGAAATATCTGTAAAGTAGGCGAAATACACTCAGGCTCACCATAATTAAAGACATGCAAAGCAAAACAATGAGATCTTATTTTCACCTATCAGGGAGACAGGGATCCCAAATGTTAAGAACACAGTGTTGCAGAGGGGTGAGGAAAGAAGCACGCTCATAGACTGTGGTTTCAGCCTTTCTAAGAACCAGCCAACAAGAGCTATCAAAATTTAAAATGCACACGCTCTTTGATCCAACTCTTCCACTGTCAGAATTTATCCGTGGAATACACCCCTATGCATATTCATAGACATGTGCGCCAGAATGTTATTTGTATTAGCAAAATATATATATATATATGGTAACCACCTAAATGTAGACAGTTACCATATTTTCAGGATACAGAAGGAAGAGAAAGGATATGGAACATTTGTACAATGGCATACTCTAAAAAAGAACGAGCTTGCTTTCTGTGTACTAATATGGAACAAGTGCCAAGATATACGCTTAGATAAAATAATCGGGTATGCATAGTATGCTTCAGAGTCTTCAAAAGAAAAAAGAAAAGGAAAAACTGAAGATACAGATATGCTTGTAAGAATCTCAGACCATTTCCAGAGCACCCAGTAAACTCTAACAGAGGTTACTGCTGGGACATGGAAAGAGGGGCTTGGGAGGTGGTTTGAGGGAGTCTAGGTTGACACTTGAATCGGCAGACAGAGAGGAGGTAGTAACGTGCCTCTTACCCACAACATGTACTGGCTGAACCGCCGCAGGAAGTAGACCATCCAGTTTCCAAGAGACTTTAAGGTGTCAGGAGCAAGCCTTCTCCAGATATTAGGGATCTGCCCGATAAAAAGAGACCTGGCCACATCGTCTAACTCATTGCTCATTCCAACTTCTCCAGCTAAGGCCTATTTAGAATCAAGAGCAATCGGCAAGACTCGATCAGAACCCCAGGTGCCACATGTCTAGGCAGTAATCTACACATGAGAGACAGGCTCACCCTTTGAAGTTCAGCCAGAGACTTGGTCATCCGGACCACAAGCTTGTTGAAGCGTTCCAGCTCCTGCAGGAGCACCACCGAAGTGGGGGAGATTCCTGTTCCAAGGCGCTTCCTCACTTGGTCCAAGTCAAAGACTTTGGGCATCTTGTTTTCTATGTCTTTGGCCACTTGGCCAATATAATCATCGCGGCTGATGCCACTGCTGGATTCCCCTAAAACCAGGACACTTTTCAGAGAAAGCAAGGCATCTATGTGTAGAACTGGAGCCTCCTGAGCCTTCCGGTTCTGGGAAAGCCATCAGCAATGTGGGAGAGCTACAAGAAGCAATCGTAAAACCCCACTCAAACTAATGAAGTCCTCCGGAGTCAGACTTTACCTGTCTGAGGCTGCAGCTCCAGCAGGTGAGCCCACATGTCTCGAGCCGCCTGTGTGTAATAGCCAATCTCAGCGTTGGAGTGGAGACCAAACACTTCTGGCGTGTTGGCAAGCGGGAGGGCCTCAATGGCTTCTGCAATCAAGAGAACAACGGAGGTGGCACTGTCCAGCCACCTGTGCTTTCTCAGGGCCCACAGCCTCCAAGTCCCCAGACATGCAAGACTAATTTCTACTGTTTAGAGGGTGACTTTGGTTTTTTTTTTTGAGACAGGGTCTTACTCAGTCACCCAGGCTGGAGTGCACTGACGTGCATTGATCACTACAGCCTCGACCTCCTGGGCTCAAGCATTTCTCCCATCTCAGCCTCCCAAGTAGCTGGTACTACAGGTGTTCACTACCACACTCCACTAATTTTTTTATTGTTTTTTGTTTGTTTAATTTTTTGTTTTTGTTTTTGTTTTGATTTTTTATTTTTTTGTAGAGATGGGATCTTGCTTGGTGGCCCAGGCTGGTCTTGAACTTCTCGGCTCAAGCGATCTGCCCTTCTTGGCCTTCCAAAGAAGGGATTACAGGTGCGAGTCACCATAACCAGCCAATGACGTTTTTAATGTAAAAATTCTACACTACCGCACCCAGTCCAGCCGTATATCCATCTTTTCTAAAAAAGTCTCAGTGAGCTTCACTGTGGCCACTCTGCCCTTCCAGGTGGACCCTGATTTATTTACCATCATTGCAGGATGGGAAATCTGAACTCTATCGGCTCTGCAGCCAGGAATTGTCTGCCAAGCCACCTAACAGGCTTAACAGACCACACCTGACCAGCCAAGGCGCCCCACCAGGAGAGGAGCCAGTTGAAATGTATGGTCTCCCTTAGAAAAAGCCTTGAAAATCTTTTCATGTCTGAGAAATCTCACCAACAAATTTCTCCTTTTCATCACCAACAGGGATTTTGTAGTCCACTTCCTTGTTCCGGAAGAAGTGGAATGGCTGGAAAGTATCAAAAATGAAGTCCCCCAGGTACTCATCCATGTAGATGGTCAGGATGCGGCGATCAAAGCTGTCGATGGCCCGTCCCCCATACATGACCTGAAATCAGAGGGCCTGAGAGCCAGCCAGGAGCTCAGAACCCACTGTGTGCACCCTGGGGGCCCGGGGCCAGAGGCGCGCCCAGGGTCAAGAGACGCCGACAGCCTGGCTCCTGCAAGGCTCGGACCTGTCGACTTGCATAGCCTTTTGGGCCACTGTTCACACAATTGATCTGTGGCTTTGCTGGCTTCCCAAGGGATAGGGCCCAAAGCAATAAGAAGCCCTCAGGAAGTGCTGGTAGCCCCTGTGCAGCAAGTAAAGTCCCCCAAACACATCAAACAAACAGCCAAAGAAGCCAGCAGCTGCTTCTGTCTTTGGAATTGATGTCACTGCTTGAGCCGTGTGCAGACCACTGGGGAAGCTTCCTGTGAGCTCTGTACACAGCGACAGTGGAAGCAAGGGGCTAGAGGATGCCTAGCCTGGATCCCCAGCCATGGATCCAGCTCAGGGAACCTCTGTGTGAATAGAGCTCACTTAGGACAAATAACAACTGGGTGACAGCAGAGAGAATGTCACAGAGACCCAAGGGGAACAGGGGCAGAAGAGGCTGGCTCTGAGGGCTCAGAGGAAAATAGGGGCACAAGGTTACAGCTCTGTAGCCCTAGAGGCACCTGCAGAAGGATCCCCGGTCACCCCTACCTCTCCAATTAGGTACTTGAGGCTGCCCCACGGGATCCTCGGGTCCCGTTGCTGGAAGGCTTTCGTTAAGTACGTGTTCAGAATTTCCATGCAGACCTTAAAAGAAGAGAACACGCTCAGTTACACTGAAACCCACCAAGCTGTTCACATTCTGATACTTTTCTGAAAAGACTGCTGGGAACGGCGCAACCGTGCTGTGGTTGAACTCAGAGGACTAAGTCGGGGAGGAAGCAGCCACCTAAGGAAGCGATTTCCAAGGAGAAGCAGCCACTGTCACCTGGAAGTCAGACTCATTGAAGTCATAGTACACGTTCCAGCCAATCTTCCCAAACTTCCTTCTCTCCTGCACCACAGCATGAAAGAATGCCAGCACGTAGACCAGCGGCTTGAAGGCAGGGTGCGGGCACTGGTCCAGCATTTCGTGAGAGATCTTGAAGTAAGTTGCCCTCATGTTGAGTTTCAGCCCATTGGGCGGCTCAGTGACAACCTTCAGAAGAGAAGAAAACGCACAGTGACGGAGACCGCAGGCCCACAAGCTTGGAGGAGTGTGCACAATGCAGGCACTGCGCTTTCCTTCCTCTCTGCGGAGCCGTCTGTCTGAGGCCTCCGATAGCTAAAGTCTCTTGTCCAGGGCCCAGGCTAAGAATTTAAAGGACCAGATGTTCTAGCGCTCAGGGTCAAGGATCAAGGGTCTTTGACCTTCCTCTGAACCATGAGATCCTTTACTGTAGAATGAAAGTCAAGTCTTCCCTCCACCTCCCCAGAGAGAGAGAGACGGGGAGTGACAAAACCTTTCCAAAAGAGTTTGCTGGAGAATAAATTAAATGGGGCATGTAAACCACCCGAAACTTCAGCAGTCAGCACTAGAGAACTGCAGGCTCTGGGGTGGGGGTGGGGGGGCGGTGGGGGCATGAAGTTTATGAAAAACAGCCTAGATACTGTTAGGGACACATGCAGAATTGGTAGAGAGAGGCCTGGGAGTCACAAACACCCACCTAGGACAGCAGCCCCCTCTAAAGAGAGAGAAATGGGATGAGAAGGGTTTCAACCGCGAGGTTTCAACTGCAGCCTAAGGTTTATTTCTACACAGACGCACGCACACCCCGGCCCCACAGCAATATGGTGCTGGTCTGGGAAGCTGGGTGCTGGGCATGTTGGTGTCCATCCTGAAGCCAGACCTTTAGGGACTTCTGCAGAATCCCAATGGGGAAGCCCTTGGTGGGGTCCGTGGTGAGCCACAGGCGGAAGTCTGGGTGGGGCTTGATGATCCTCTCCAAGGACTTCTCCAGATCTTTCAGCCACTTGACGAGGAGGTGGCAGTTCTGCAGCATCAGCCACTGCCCGCGAGCCACCGCAGTTTCCAGCAGCTGCAGGGCCACCTGCGCCCGGGGAGAGGGAGGAGGAGAGGGGGGAGTTGGCATCCAAACCCAACCCCGTGCTCTCCAGAGACCCACTCCACCCCACAGAAAGGTGATGGCCAGCTCCAGCAGCAGCCGAAAGCAAGCCAAGGATCCAGGAGCTACAGGAGGAGCCTTCAAATAAACCATCTTTTAGAAACCCCATGGGCCCCGTGGGTGCACTGAGCTGGTCACACACAGCCTGGAAGATGGGTTAGCATTTTGCACTCATCAGCCCCCCTGGCCCTAGAAACCCCAGCTTCTCCCACACAGTCGCTCCTGTCCCGAGGACTCCTGAGCAGGGCTGCAACAGACCAGCTAAAGCCCACCAGGAAGTAGGGATTGTCCTGGCCACTGTAAGATCTTCAGGGCCCTAGGCCTGGAAAACAATCACCATGCCCCCTCCCAAATGTAATTCAAGCACAAACAAGCTAAACACCCAAATCAAGCCTTGGTTTCTGAAATGGCTTAAAACACATGAGCGCTGATGTTACAATAGCTTCTTTCAGTGTTGTGGTTGAGAGAGCTGGCCCGCCTTGCTGGTGCCCAGGGCTTGCCTCCTGGGCCATCCAGCATGGGTATGGCCATCCTCATCTCACCCAGGGGCTTTCAGCAGCAGAGGGGCTTACCCAAAGCCTCGCAGTTCGTAGCAAAGCCAGGACTGGCAGTCAGCTCCCTCTGACCCCAACACGCATGCCTGCGACCATCACACTTGCTGCCGCACAGGCTTTTCCTGCAAGCTTTGTCCCACATTGTACTGAACTTGCGTAGCAAGTTCTAGCAGGGAGCACTGTGATGCAGAGAGGCAAGACCTCAGCAAAGAAAGCTCTCTGGCTCAGAAGGACAGGACGATTTGCACCACAGTTCCGTCCTGAATGGTCCTGGGCTCAGCCTCTCTCGACCCACTCCCTTGGCCATGCAACTGGGGCCATCATAATTCTGACCTGCAATGAGGCTGTTCAGGGACTAAGGAAGGTAAGGACTGTGTGTGAAAGGGCTTTGAAGACGGCACAGCCTGGGCACTGTGGCTCATGCCTGTGATCCCACTTTGGGAGGCTGAAGTGGGAGGATCGCTTGAGTCCCGGAGTTCAAGACCACCCAGGGCAACATGGTGACGTGTTTATATTTTTCTCTACAGAAAATACAAAAAACATTAGCCAGGCATGGTGATGCATGCCTGTAGTCCCAGCTGCTACTGGGGAGGCTGAGGCAGGACGATCACTTAACAGTCAGGAGGTCGAGGCTGCAACGAGCTATGTTCGCAACACTGCACTCCAGCCTGGGTCACAGAGCAAGACCCTGTCTCAAAAAGAAAAGAAAAAGGAAAAAAAGAAAAGCACAGCACCACGATCACAACACAAGGTTGTGAAATCATAACTATTATTGTCATCTACACAGTGTTTCATTACTGCTGCTTTGCTCGGAAATGCATCCAACTTATTCGTGGCGTGGCACTCTCAGCTTAAATCCAGGTTAGCTCCTCCTTAGCAGACACCAGGGACCTCCCCTAAATGTAGAGCTTGTTCCTTTCAGCCACAAATTACCTTTTCTTGACCTTGACCCATTGCAAGGAATTTCAGGCGATTTCCTCCAAAACCACTTCGCTCTGCTAATTTCATAAGATCACTGGCAGGGTCAGAGCCAGGACTCAGGATAAACACAATGGGCGAATTTGGAGTGCTCTGCTCAAAAATAGCTTCAAAGCTGATCATTGGGGGCTGTACATACCTGGTGAAAGAAACACAGTCAGAAAACTGTCCCGGGAGGACAGCTCCAGACCAGGGGCTGGCCTGTCTGATCAGTGCTGCCTCCTCCAGTGTCCAGAACCTTCTGACCCCTCCCCTGGGATAGCTCTTTGCAGTCTTCCCTGTTTTAGATTCTAGTTTCTATGCACGTCTCCCACCCTGATGAGGAACTCCTGTACCCCCTGCACACTCGATTCAGTTGGTTTGTGCTGAGCTGGGCACCTCAGCTTGCCCTCCAGGTGGGCGTGCCCATGGCACAAAACCCTGAGGTTCCACAGGTGTGTCCTGAATGGTCCACATCTTGAATTTTGAGTTTTGTATGTGGATTTTTTCTTTTTCTTTTTCTTTTTTTTTAATTGAGAGATATAATTTCACTCTGTTGCCCAGGCTGGAGTACAGTGGTACTATCATAGCTCACTGCAGCCTCAAACTCTCAGGCTCAAGCCATCCTCCCACCTCAGCTTCCTTAGTAGCTTGACTACAGGTGTGCGCCACCACAGCTGGCTCATTTTTTTTTATTATTTTTTATTTTTTAGAGGCAGTATCTTGCTATATTGCCCAGGCTGGTCTCGAACTCCTGGCCTCAAGCGATCCTCCCACATCAGCCTCCTGAAGTGCTGGGATTACAGGTATGAGCCACTGCACCTGACCCAGTCGTGCGTTTTAAAATTCATTGCCAACACAAAGATACTGGGATATTTCAGGTAAAAATCTGAAGTCCTAGCTTCTTTCAGAGTCAGAGGATCCAGCCACTGTGGGTTCCCAGTGGCACATGGTATCAGTCAGCAGGAGCTAAGGGCAGCTGCCCAGGGACCAGGACTCCACCCAGCCTCATCACTCGCTGCCATGGCCTACTGGCTGCAAGGGCACATCTGAGCTGCAGTCTCACGCTCTCTGCCTGGCTTTGTACCCCATGCTAGAGCAACATTGTCCAGTGTGATGGCCATGAGGCACACGCGGCGACTCAGCACTTAAAATGTGGCTGGCCCCAATTGAGATGTGCTGTAAGTGTGAATTCACACAGGATTTTGAAGACTTAATACCAAAAAAAGCATGTAAAATGTCTCAATCATGTTCATATTGATTATACATTTAAATGATAATTTTAATATATTCATTTAAATAAAATATATTACAATTAATTGCGCCCATTTCTTTTCTAATGGAGCTACTAGAACTTTCGAAACTGCATATGTGGCTCACATTGAATTTCTTGTGACTAGCGCTGTTCTAGAATATTGAAGAATTCTAGAATATTGGCTATGGAATATTGTCCAGACAGGGTGGCGACAGCTGTCACGGGAGCTGGTCAGCCTCTGCTTTCTTTGAGCCCAAGGTGGGAGGATGCTGGCGATGCCACCCCACGAAAAGCGGCAAATCAACAAAACGACACACTTACTTCTCTCCCATTGTTACAGTCACATAGTCAGTCACTGCCCGATAGACCCGATCCACACGGAAACAGCGCAAAATAAGCAATTTCTGGAAAGGGGTGATGTTGTTGTCGTAACCCAAGGGGAATGGAAACTGCTCCAGTGAATCCAGGTCATACCACTGGGAAAAGCAAAGAATATTCATTGTGGCATCAACTCAGAAATGACATAGGTCCCCATTTGTGTGTGAAGGTGGCAAAAGCCACTGGAAAGGGATGAGAATCTATAGGTGTAGTAACTGAAGGCCACCTGGTCAGATCTGTCATTCTCTACCCCCAAAGACTATGACATTCAGAAAGGAGAAACTGAGTCTTATTCACTGAGTGCCCATCAAGGGACATGGTACATGGTAGATGCCCAACAACTATTTCTGGGATGGATGGGTCGGTAGGTAGATGGATAGGTGGGTGCATGCATGGGTGGATGGATGGATGAGTAGGTGGGTGGGTGGGTGGGCGAATGGGTAGATGAATGGGTAGGTGGGTAAATGGATGGATGGGTGGCTGGGTGGGTAGGAGGGTGGATGGATACAGGGATGAATGGATGGATGGATGGATGGATGAGTAGGTGGGTGGGCGGGCAGATGGGTAGATGAATGGGTAGGTGGGTAAATGGATGGATGGATGGGTGGGTGGGTAGGTGGGTGGATGGATACAGGGATGAATGGATGGATGGATGGATGGATGAGTAGGTGGGTGGGCGGGCGGATGGGTAGATGAATGGGTAGGTGGGTAAATGGATGGATGGGTGGGTGGGTGGGTAGGTGGGTGGATGGATGGATGGATGGATGGATGGATGGACGGACGGACGGACAGGTAGATGATTGGATCTCCCATACAACTAGCTGAATTAGCCAAAGGAGAATTCCAATCAGGGGGTTAGAGGGCATCAATTACACACTAATGGGTTACTCAAAGGAGTGTCTTCTCTTAAGGGGTTGGGCCACAGTTGAGGTTTAGAGATTGTTGACATGTGGGGAAGGAGAGGAGGAGAAAGGGAGCATGGGCTCACCTCCTGCCAGACAGTCTGGTTATTCTCAACATCATCAGGAAGTCGCCCAAAGCTGTCTGAAAACATCTCTGATAAAAGAATGATATCTTCCCATCCTTGGTCAGACAACCAAGCGCAGGGCTTTTTTCTTCTGCTTTTCTCCAGGGAAATGTTTCCTAATCACAATGGAAGAGAAGCAAACAGCTGTTGTGCTGCCAACACAAAGCAGGCAACTCTGCTTTGACTTCTCTCACTTTTGGGGAAAAGTCCACTTCTCAAGAAGGAGACTGGAAAGAGGAAGTGGCCCGGGCTTGCCCTCGTCACCGCCAGTGACACCAACTAGGCGCTCAGTGTAGCATCCAGCTTCCAGCCTCAGGGTGGCCCCGAGACAGAGGCTGGCTGCTCCGAGTTCAACCAGAGCCTTTTTGGAGGCTGGAATGATCAACTGGAATAGTGAAAAATGCAGTGCTGTTGGGAGTCAAGTTTTAAGGCGAATTTTTGTGATTGTCTGTTTTAATGGACAAACTTATATACACGTATCGTGTGGGCAAGGAGATGGGAGGAATGAAGCTAGGCAAATTCATTACCTTTTAGAAAGAAATCTAATTCTTCTTGAGGGACTCTCCCTTCTGCTTGTTCTATCTTGATGGTCATATTAAAAGAAAAGAGTAGCTTGTGCCTCTCAAACAGCCCTGGAGGGAAACATCAGACGAGTATTGATTTCTTTAAAAACCTGAGTTTCGTACGCACGCTGTGCTTAAATGTAAGAGAAATGAAACACTCAAAGTGTATGGCTGCATTTAACCCTCTCTGCACCCCATGTCCATGACTATCTAAGTGCACAAAAGATAAGCTCAGTTCCTAGGTCATGCCCCAGTCTGTAGAGACATGCTCCTGTATGTAACGGAAATGGCTGTGTCTACAGGAGGTAAAATCACACCATCCTGGGAAGAGGAAAAGCCAGCGAGGGGCAGTACAGTTGGGGATCAGAGCCACCCTCTCAACCGAAGGCAGGTTGTTTGCCTGACTCCATGGCATTCGTGTCCATTAGAGTCTAGGAGAGGTGTTGGCAAACTTTCTGCAAAGGGCCAGATAGTAAATATTTTTGGCTTTGGAAGCTAGATGGTCATAACCACTCAACTCCACCACTGTAGTGCAAAAGCAACCATAGACAATATGTATACTAATGGATATGGTCCTGTTCCAATAAAACTTTATTTACAAAAGCAGGCAGTGGGCCAGATTTGGATGCTGGCTAGGGGTTTGCCAGCCTCTACTGCAGAGGACACACACTCCATCAACAGACTCTTTATTGATGGATGCAAAATACCAGCTTTCTTCTTTTTTGCTTTTTAACAGAAGACATGTGTTCCTGGAAAAAAAAATTGTGTAAGTCAAAATTTGTAATTTGAATTCTACTTCATATGTGTTAGGAGGGTTGGCTACTTAAGTGAGTCCTATAGAAACAATCTCTTTTCTGCCCAACTGTTAAGGGCTAAATTATATTTCTCCAAACTTCATATGTTGAAGCCCCAGCTTCCAGTACCTCAGAATATGATGGTATTTGGAGACAGGGTCTTTAAAGAGATGATTAAGTTCAAATGAGGCCATTAGGGTGGGCCCAGTCCAACCTCACTGGTGTCCTTACAAGAGGAGGAAATTTGGACATGCACAGACCCCAGGGATTCACATGCAGAGAAGAAAGACTTTGTGCAGACACAGCAGGAAGACGGCCTCCTGCAAGCCAAGGGGAGCGTCCTAAGGAGAAACGAAATCTACCAAAACCTTGATTTTGGACTTCTGACCTCCAAAACTATGAGAAAATAAATTTCTGTTGCTTAAGCCACCCAGTCGGTGGTATTTTGTTAAGGCAGGCATGACAAACTTAATACAAGCAGCACTGGTGCATGGAAAATATCACTGTCAGTGCAGTGTCTCAGCAAAAGAGGACTGGAAAGGGATGCAAGTGTGCCCTGTCCACCTCTGCTTTCTAAAGGTCGCTCTACAGGCCCCTGCTTAAAAATGGCCATTCTGAGTTTCTCCCAACTCCTTTCCAAAAACCAACTGAAATGGTGAGTTTTTTTGTTTGCTTTTGTTTTTTGTTTTTTTTGTGTGTGCAGTGGCGCGATCTTGGCTCACTGCAACCTCCGCCTCCTGGGTTCAAGCCATTCTCCTGCCTCAGCCTCTCGAGTAGCTAGGACTACAGGTACGTGCCACCACACCCAGCTAATTTTTGTATTTTTAGTAGGGACGGGGTTTCACCATGTTGGCCAGGATGGTCTCCATCTCTTGACCTCGTGATCCGCCCACCTCGGCGACCCAAAGTGCTGGGATTACAGGCGTGAGCCACTGTGCCTGGCCTAATGGTGAGTTTTTAAAAAAAGGTATAAGCTCCCAGAAAATTGGAGAAAAGACAATAGCAATAAAATTTTGCAAGCGACTCCAGGTGCGGTTGCAGTGAGCTAAGATCGCACCCCTGCACTCCAGCCTGGACAATCCGACCCTTTCCAGAAAAAGTTTGCTGACCTCTGAAACCCTGCAAGCTACAGACAGATGGACAAGTGATAATTGATTTAGCAGAGCTGAGAAAGTTGACTCTTACATGAGGAGGAGATAAAGCTGAGATGCAAACCACAGAATGCATCAAAAGCTCAGGAACTGGCAGTTCCAGATCCTTTGGAAGTGTGGGTGAATATGGGCTAAAAACAGGAAGATGGGTGGACAGCTTGTTTGACAAGCAGTCAGATCCCAGATCCCCTCTCACTCCATGCTGCCAGGCAACTGCCTGCCCCACCCAAGTGAACTTTGGAAAAGATAAAGCAGGGTCTCTGGACAGGGGAACACCAGGCATAGTTGAGGGGAAACCATACTGAAAAGATGGTTTTCAGCGCAAGTTTTCATGATGAATGCTGAAATTGACAGCCTTCTTTTCTCACATGCTTCCAAGAAGACTGGCAGCCAGGTTATATGATCTCTAGAAAAGGATGAAAGCCCGTTCTTCACGGGGAGAGTCTTAAGGTCCCGTGAGAAAGAAGCTACTATGTATTTGTTGCATTGATTCACTGATCTCACCCAATGACAGCAACACAGAGACGCCACGCCAAAAAATTCAGACAGGAGCCGGAAACAACCCAGGCAATCAGGCGCGCAAGTGTCTGGCCCACCAGTAAATGCAAGGGGTGGCAGAGCACGGTGCTTATGCTCTAGTCTCCATTTCAATCAGCATCTTTTGAGAGCTGAGGCAGGTAGTGATCCCTTAAGCGGGTCCCAAGGAGTTCAAGACCAGCTGCCAAGCCATCTGGCGAGACCCCCTGACCAATCTCTAAACAAAAATTTTTAACTTTGGGAGGCCAGAGATGGGCGGAATTCACGAGTCAGGAGATCGAGATCCATCCTGGCTAATACAGTGAATATCCGTCTCTAACAAAAAACCCACAAAAAACTAGTCCGTTTATTATGCGAGGTGGTTTGCGGTCCGGCTGTGGTCCCAGCTTACTCAACGGAGGCTGAGCAGGCAGAATCGGCGGAACTTTTTAAGCTGAGGCGAAAGGGCGGTCAGAGCTTGCAGTGATCTGAGGTGCCGGCCACTGCACTCCCAGCCCGTGGCCGATCCAGAGCAAAACTTCCTCGTGCTCAAAAAAAAAAAAAACAAAAATTTTTTAAATTATTCTGAGGCCATTTGCGTGGTATGCACCCTTGAGTGTCACAGGCGTACTGAGCGGGTTTCGTTGCAAGTGGGTAGGATTCGGACATTGACCTAGGAGGGAGGGTTGGCAGCAAGCTGTGTTGTGTCAACTGACTCCAGCCTGTGGGCATACAGAGCCAGACCCTGTCTGCTAAAAAATAAATAAATAAGAATAGTCCCGGGCCGATCATGGGCCTCAAGCCTGTAATATCCCAGCATTTGGGAGGCCGAGACGGGCGGATCCTGATGTCAGGTAGATCAATGTAGCCGCATCCTGTGCTAACACGGTGATAACCCCGTCTCATACCAGAAGAAATTTACAAAAACTTAGCCGAGCGATTGGTGGCGGCGCCCTGTATGTGTAATAGCTAATCTGGAGACTGGAGTCAGAAGAGATGATGTGAACGTCCGGAGCGGTAGCTTGGGCAGTGAGCTGAAATCCGGCCCGCACGCCAGCCTGGGCGACAGAGCGAGACTCCGTCTCAAAAAAAAAATAAAAATAAAAATAAAAATAAATAAATAAAAATAAAAATAAATGCAACGGGGAAAAGAGAGAAATTAAGTGACACAACCAATTATAACGTATGGACCCTTAATGAGGTCCTGATTTAAGCTAATGTGAAATATGACATATAAGACAATGGGAACATTTGAAAACTAGGTATGTGATGATGTTCAGGAATTATTAATTTGGGGGTATGATAATGGCCTTATGTCTACCTTTTTAAATAGAATCCTTCTATTTTATAGCAGGGATGGGCAAACCACAAGCCAGGGGCCAAATCCAGCCTGCTGCCTGTTTTTGCTAATAAAATTTTATTGGAACACAGCCATGGCCATTCACTTCCATATTGTCCAATGGCTGCTTTGTGCTACAACTGCAGAAATGAGTAGTTGTGGCAGAAATCACTTAGCCTTCAAAGCCTAAAATCCGACCCTTTCCAGAAAAAGTTTGCTGACCTCTGTTTTAGAGATACAAACTAACATACTTACAGATAAGTGATCTGAATAGGAAGCAAATTTTCAACATAATCTGGGTTGACGGGGAACCGTCTGGATTATATAAACAAATCCAGAGCTGATCATTGCCAGGTGAGAGGTGCGCAGACGATCATGACACTATTCTCTTTTGTATATGTTTTCCATAACAAAAAGTGTTGTTAAAAAATCAATGATTTAGGGGTTGAAATAGACTGTAGTCACTTTGGAAACAGTTTGGCAGTTCCTCAAAAGTTACACATTGAATTACCTATGATCCAGCAGTTCCCTTCCTAGATGCACCTCCAAGAGAATTAAAAACACACATTCACACAAAAACCTGCACACAAAGGTTCACAGGAGCATTGCCTTAATAGCAAAAAAGCGAAACAACCCAAATGCCCATCAGGTGACGGGTGAGTAAACACAGTGCGGTCTGTCCATACATGGAATGTGACTCAGCCACAGACAGGAACGAAGCGCTGACACACACAGCAACCCGGATCAACCGTGAGGTCACGATGTGGAATGAAAGACGCCAGCCATGAAGTCACACACCCTATGATGCCATGGACATGAAGTGTGCAGCACAAGTAAACCCTTACAGACGGAAGGCAGAGTGGTGACTGCCAGGGACTAGGAGCGGGGGGCCGGGGGTGACTGCTAATGGGTGTGGGATTTCATTTCGGGGCTGGTGGACACGTTCCAGAGCGAGAGAGTAGTGATGGCTGCACAACTCTATGAATATGCTGTGAATCACCAAACTGTACATTTTTAAAGGGCGAATTTATGGTATGTAAATTGTATCTCAATAAAGGTGCTATCTTAAAATTCAATGCTTTAAACATTCTTCTTGTAACATGAATCGCCACACTTAAGAATGCCATTCGGAGCTGGGCATGATGGCTCATACCTCGTCATCCCAGCACTTCGGGAGGCCAAGGTGGGTGGATCATTCGAGCTCAGGAGTTCGAGACCAGCCTGGGCAACATAGTGAAACCCCATCTCTACAAAATACACAAAAACTTAGCGGGGCGTGGTGGCGTGCCTTGTAGTCCCAGCTACTCTGGGGGCTGAGGTAGGAGGATCACCTGAGCCTGGGAGGTGGAGGTTGCAGTGAGCTGTGATTGCACCACTGCACTCCTGCCGGGGTGATGGAGCAAGACCCTATCTCAAACAAAAAAAAAAGAAAGAAAGAAAGAAAAAAATGCCATTTGGTAAGTTTCTGTTTTCACAGACCACGTTTCGTTAAAGCCACATCTGGCACACCAAGCCACACGAATGTGTCCTCCTCTGTGGGGAGAGCTCACCCGTGCAGCCGTAGTTATAGATGTTGAAGGTCAGTGTGTCCATGATGTTCCTCAGGCGTTTCATGAGAATGGAATCGGGCAGCGACTTCTTCAGTGACAGCCCGAAGACCTCTAAGAAGGCAATCAGGGAGTACTGGTACATGGAGTTCACCAGGGCCATCTCAGACAGCACGAAGAACAGGATGGCCCCCCTCCTGGCTGCTGGCCGGTAGCCATCCCGCAGCCTGTCGATGTCCAAGGCTGTCTTCTCCGCCAGCTTGAGTTTCTCTGAGACCTGAAGAAAAGCACAAGTGACCCTGGAAACAGGGAGACTGAGAAGTGGGCAGAGGGCAGGAGGGGCAGGGGGACAGCAGAGAGGTACATGCAATGCTCCAGGGCTTTGAAAGCATCCAGGGACTGCAGGGGACCGAGGGCACCCACCCTCTTGTACGAAGGGGTGAATATTTGTGGCTGATGCCCCTGCACCCAAGGCCCCTTCCTCTAGTAACACTGCTTGTAAGTCTCCAGGTACTGCCCTCTCCCTTTTCATCCCATATGGGGTTCCACCCAGACTCCAGGAGATGTGACCCAGGCCCAGCCAACCCGAGCCTAGCATCCCCAAGCTCCTGGGACTGGTTTGGGGTAGAAATGTGACTTAAGTGACTTCCAGGACCTTCATGGTAGGAACAGGAAGATTCTCACTTATCCCTTTGGGTTTAGAGCTGAGAGACATGAGGCCAGACCAGTCTTATGACCATGTAGGGAGCTGGCAGAGAATGACGCCAAGCCGGTAGAAGGCCCAGCCCAGAAATGGAGAGAAACCAAGTCCTCCTGGTATTTTTGAAGTCCTGGATCCAGCCCCACCTGAGGCCATCTCTGCACTTTTCTGCCTTCTCAGCTGATAACTTCCCTTTTGACTTAAGCCAGGCAGGGCTGGGTTTTCCATCACTCTCAATTTAAAGAGACTGACCTGATGCCTAAGGGTCCCTGGGAACACCTTTAGGGCTCCCCTCCCCACAGCACATCCCAATAGAGGTGGCTTTTTATCCCTGAGATCACAGAGCCCAGTTTTCTCATTGAGCAGACAGAGAACTGGATGCTCCAAAGGTGCATGCGGGCCCCGCCTGGCTCAGGGCCTTTTCCGCTGTGGCTGCTACCTCTGTTGCCTTGGATTTGGTCTCCTCCAGGGTGTGCACCAGGTCCACATTGTCCAGCATGTTCCCGGTGGACGTGGCCAGCTCCCGAAGGAGGGAATCTTCCAGGTCCTTGAGTAGGTTCTTGTTCTCGCTGGTCTCCTGGATGAGGTGCTCCCGCTGCTCCTCCAACTCCCGCCTCTCGTAAGCCACCAGCACGCTCAGCAGCTGGTCCTCCAGGCCCTTCAGCGTGACTGTGGGGGACAGTGAGAGGCCCTCACCACCTGCAGCCCCCGACAACGGTCTCTCCCGCTGCCCTGCTGTGATGGGACAAGCTTAGCGTGGGTCTCAGAGAGCAGGTCAGAGGCACGAGGATTCACTGCCCACCAATGTCACTCTACAGCAGCAAGGTGGCAGACATGAGCAAAATAGCGATGCTGTGGTGCAGAGTGGTGGACAAAAAGGAAAAAATGCACTGAAATAAAACCCAGGCTTCCACGGACTGGGGTACCAAGGTTTAAAGTATACCCAGATTGGGCACAGTGGCTCATGCCTGTAATCCCAGCATTTTGGGAGGCAGAGGCGGGAGGATCCCTCGAGCCCAGAAGTTTGAGACCAGACTGGGCAACGCAGAGAAACCCCATCTGTACGAAAAAAGAAAAAGAAAAAAGAAAAGAAAGTACATCCAAATCGAATTAACCTGTTTAAGCAGGTGCATGACAACCCTAGAGAATATGAGAGATAACATTCAATTTCTATCAGAATTCAACTGAAAGGAAGAAAAAAAATTCAACATCACAACATGTATTTTAAATACACGAACACAGAGTAACTTCCTGCCCCCACAGACAGACGTCCCATCCCACCCGTGTGTGAACACGTGAGCCCACAGCCCTGTCTCAGCGTGACTCACGACAGGTAACTCATAGCCTCACACCCTCTAAGTGGTACCTAATTGGTAAGAGCTGACTAGCCCGGATGTGCCTATGAGAGAACGATCTGGGGTCACTGTGAGTGAAATGACGTCCCAGGAAAGCCTTGATCTCAGGTTGCGGTCTCCATCATAACCATCTTAATTAGCAGTGGAGGTTCTACACATTCTTACCGGTGTAATTGATGACCATAGCTTTCCCAAACACGGATGGGGAGTATCTGGGATTGGCCAGCTTGGTGTTTAGGTACAGTCTGAAATTTGAATCATAGTCAACTTCCTTGTCTCCCAGGATAATAAACTGCCGTCCTTGGGAGACTTTTATATTTTTTTCTAAGACGTTATCAATCACAGGATCGATGTATTCATCAACATCGCGGAACAGGAAAGGGGTCCCGTACTTTATGGACATCTCTAGCTGCTTGAGAAAGTCAGGGTCGTTAAAGGAAGCGACCTGGAAGAGAGGGGAGGCAGATGCTGAAAGCCCGCATGTTTAGCTGTGGTCCTGCCAAATATAAAGGGAGAACGGCTTGGAAGTGGGAAGTGGATGAGCCAGGAACTTGGAGGGGCCAGAGGTGAAAAGAAGAGAGAAACAAGAGGTATAACGCCTATACACCATGAGGTCCAGGCTCAGGGCAGGATCGTGCTCAAACAGGGTGGAGAGGAAAGGAAGGGGATTCCTCAGCCCCTCCCTGTAAGCTAGAACCCCTTCTCTTTAAGAGACAGGGTAGGTGTTGGAATTAGACTAGGGGTAGGCTGACAATGTCAGTGCTCCCTGGCAGGCTGAGGGAAGAGGGAGTCTAGGGAAGTTCCTGCCCTCATAGTATTTGCTCCATGATAGCTCCATGTGCATTTTGGAGGCAGACTGTTCCCCTGACCCTGGAGTACAAACGGGCTCCCCCAAACAGCATGCAAATACCTGGGATCAAGGACCAGAAAAAAATAAGGAAAAGCTAAAATTGAAAATCATTAATTTGTTCATTAGTTCAGCAGAAAGTGATTGGGCCGCCCCGGCAATTCCACTCCTAGGTATCGCCCTAAGAGAACTGAAAACACATGGCCACATAGAAACGTGTGCACCAACGTTCACGGCGGCATTCTGCAAATAGCCAAAAAGAGGGACCACCCGACTGTGCCTCGGTGAATGGATGGATGAACACGATGTGTCTGTTCGCACACCGGAATACCATTCAGCCCAAGGCAAGAATGACGCCCTGACACGCTACAGCAAGGACAGACCTTGAAAACATCAGGCTGAGTGAAAGACGCCAGACACAAAAGGCCACACAGCATCTGATGCCATTCCTAAGAAATGTCCAGAGGAGGCACATTCAGACGGAAAGCAGATAAGTGGCTGTCAGGGGCTCAGGGAGGGAGAAACGGGAGGACTGGAGGGGTGATGGCTAAAGGATATAGCATTTCTTCCAGGGATAATAAAAATGTTCTAAAATTGACTCTGGTAATTGGTATACGACTCTGTAAATATACTAAAACTCAAACGGAATTGTATGTGTTCAGTGAGGGAATGGTGTGGTATGTGAATTACATCTCAATCAAGCCATTACTCTCTCCTCCCCTGCATCCCCATCCCCCACCTCAGCTCCAAAAAACAGTGACTGAGCACCCAGACCACGAACCCCATACTGGGCAGAGGAACGCGAAGCTGAGGTTGCTCGCAGCCTGCGAGGGGAGAGGCAGAGTTCACGGTGGTTTGCGCTGCCCTGGCAGACCCACAGGGTGGAGGTGGAGGTGGGGGAGGGCTCCGCGTGGGGGTCAGGGTGGAAGCGTTTCTGCCCAGACTCGTTGAGGCTAGGGACTGCCAGGGACTGCCAGGTACAGGAGGCGGGAGGGGCACTCTCCAGAGAACAGGCACCGGGGGCAGAAGACGCCCCGGGAGGAGCCGCCGTACCCGCAGATTGTTCTTCTCCTCTTTTCTCTTGATCCAGTTGAGGGCCTGCTGCTGGGGGTCGATGCAGAGAGGGAAGCGGCTGGCCCGGGTGGTGAGGATGCCATTCTGAACAGACAGCTCATCGGGGGGAAGGCCCTGGGATCCCCATCTGGAAGAAACAGCCGTCAGGAAATGAACTTTTCTCACCAATTTGTGAGCCAAGGGCTAAGGGTGGTAGGACTGGCCTTCCAGAACCATCTACCCATCCCCAGGCTGCACAAGCCTCCGCAGGCTCTAGGGAGAAGGGCTCCATGCTGGGTTTGCAGCTCGCCCAGCCACTTCCATGCAGTCAAGCCAACTGTGGTCCTGGCAATGCCCCCAGGCCATTGCCTCCCCGTGGGGTGACACCCATGTAGACCCCTTGTGCTAAGATGTCCCCTTCCTCCTGCTGGCTCAGGGTGCCACACACCTGCTGATCTCAACATCATCCGTGAGCAGGCTTTCCAGCCGGAAAGGCTGGCTCAGAGGAATCTCCCGCTCCAGGATGTCGTTTTGCCAAATCCGATTGACCATCTCGTCACGGAACTCCCAGGTGAAGGCTCCCTCGTAGCTCAGGAAGGCCGCGCAGAGCAGGCAGTCCCCCAGCAACTTCACGCGCCGGTGCATCAGCTCATCCAGGTCATTCAGCCACCTGGCACGGGAGGAGAGGGAGGCTGCCGTGAGCGGTTTACCTTCTGGCCACAACCAAAAGGAACATTCCAGAAGAACCAGCTTGATACCTTGCTAACAGGGCTAGCCAGACAGAAACATGTTTTGAGATATTCTTTCCTCATGGGGAACAGAGACCAACAGCTTATCTTGCAACTTCCCACCCTAGTGAACCTGGTGTTTGGAGCCAGCATCAAGCAGGGGGCTCAGTAAAGGCCTGTGGTCTTTATTAAGTAGTAATCACATTGCATGGATCACATTAAGTAGTAATCACGTTGTTTCCGAAGCCTTAATCAAAGACATATAAATCAGCCCAGCAGAGCTAACAAGTTCTGGCCTCACTCAATGACAGAATTCCACCCAAGATAAAAGAAAGCATCTGTTTCCTTTGGCCTCTTCCAGGAAATGCCCCAAGACTTAGGTTTTAGAAATACTGAAAATTGTTTACCACATGCAAACAGTGTTTTTCAGTGTTTTCTACACCACATTTACAGATGCCAGATTCAAAATTGTTGCCCTATTCGGTGAATAAGCTGTGGCCAAGCGGTCTTGCCCATAAAGATCAAACAGCCCCATCACTTAAGACTGAAGTCCAGGATTGAACAAGCCACTGGGACGCTTAGAAGGCATCCGTGCAGTGACAGCGATGGGCTTCTCCCACAGACTCTTCTAGAAAGGACCCAGGGGTTAGAGGTCACCAAGAAGTGAACACTCCCTAAACCTTGCTAAATGCTATGGATTGCTCCATCTCCACAGCTGCACTGCCTCCTTGACCCTTAGTAATTAATAAATAACACTCAGTGCCTAATAAAAACAATAGTCTATAAAATAGCCATTAGCTGCCATAAACATGGTAATAGGAAAATAAGACCTGGTCACATGGTTTTCACATAAAAACACAACGTGAGATAAAGAATCAACATGGCGAGAAACTCTGTGGGTGACGTCCATTTACAAACGACAACAGGTGGGCTCGTGAGCCGCGCTGACCTGATGTTTTCCGACCCCAGACCCGAGATGAGTTTGTCTGCAGCAATCAGCCGCCTCTCCATGATCTCGGCTTCCTCCTGCAGCTTCTGCTTTTCCAGTATGGCGGCCTCGTATTTGGCACCCAATGTTTCCAGCTCTTTCTGAATTGCTGCCAACTCATTCTGGATCCTTTCCAGTTCCCGTTTAGTGAGGTAAAAATTCCGCTCCAACCTGGCCACCTAAGTAAAGACAATTTGCAGAAAGGTGGGGAAAAGGACCATGGTGGGGCCGTGATACAATGGCCTCAAACCAGGCCACGTGTCCAAACTGCTCTAATGGTGTCTGTGCTTTTCGGAGCCACTATGTGCTATATCGAGACACGTGGCTTCTTAGTTTCTTCTTCAACTGTTTGCTGCAAAAACTCTATGTCCCATTAGAAGACACAGCACCTAAGTTATCAGATGGTTGTACTTTCATGTACTGAGATCACAGTAAGATGACACTGTGGTTCTAAGTCAAAAACTCAGAAGAATATATCATAGACAATAACAGTATTTCTATTGGTTCTAAGTTTTCTGAATAATACAATTCCGAGCTATAGAGCAAGGTCACAATATGACTCAAAATGATCAAATCAACCTTATTCTCTTTGTATTTTGTGATCTACCTGTGACTTTGGCCCCGCTGCTCTCCACTGGGGTAGGTTTGTCCCCCAGGGGATGTTTGGTAATGTCTGGAGATATTTCTGGATGTCACAGCTTGGAGGGAGGGTGCTACTGCCATCCAGTGGGGTGAGGCCAAAGGTGCTGCTAAACATCCTATAGTGCCCAGGACAGACCCCCCAGGACAGACCCCCCCAGGACAGACCCCCCCAGGACAGACCCCCCCACTACCGCCAGGCAGCACTTTAGTGGTGCTGCAGCTGAGAAACTCTGCTTTGACCCTAGAGAAACAACTTTAAACATCTTTATGTCTTTTTTTTTCTTTTTTCGTTTTTGAGACAGGGTCTCACTCTGTCCCAGGCTGGAGTGCAGTGGTACAATCACGGCTTACTGCAGCCTCCCAAGTAGCTGGTGTGCCACCATGCTCGGCTAATTAAAAAAAAATTTTTTTTGTAGAGACAGGGTCTCACTATGTTGCCCAAGCTGATCTCAAACTCCTGGGCTAGAGTGATCCTCCCGTCTGGGCCTTCCAAAGGCCTTCCAAAGGTGAGCCACCGCACCTGGTCTGAACATCTTTATACCACACTTTCACAGAAAGTTTGAAACTCTTTCAGACCTCGGTCTTGTCCACCACCCACACTGTGCCTAAGTGATAGTGGTGTTTCAGGATTACCATTTATTGGGGGGCAGGGGGAAAGTTTATGCAGTTTAAAGTCAGAACCTTGGGAGAATTTTCTCAGCAAAGGTGTGTACTGTGAATTCTGACTCTGAAGGGGTCTCTTGGCAGTGGTGTGGCAGTCTTACATTCGGGCAATACCTTCTCTCTTTTGGGCTTGATCTCTCTGAAAACATCACAGTAGCCCATTACAGCTTCGACAAATTTCAGCATCCCCAGCCCGGCTTTGCTGACAGCTTCCATTTCTTCAGTCGTGGTATTAAGAGTCTTCAAGAGGCCTAACGTGAAACATGCAATAATTTTTATGAGTGGCAAGCTTCATCTTGGGAACATAAAATAGACAAAATAAGTGTAACTAGTTTCTTATTCTTCAGCGGCCCCGTGAGCAGGATGCACACAGCTCTCCTACGGCCAACAGCGTGGTGTCAAACCAGAATGGGCTCTGCATAAACCAATGCTTCTGATGTGGGCGAGGGGCATGGTTTACTGCTACCTAGGACGCGGGTGTCATGCAGGAGACCCGGGGCATAACGGAGACTCCCAACTGGGCACCCACGTGGCTAACTGGAATTCACAGGCCATTACAGGTCACCTGTTACCTTCACCCGCACCCTCACCCCAGGAGTAATTTCACATACACGGAAGTCCATCCAATGAAGATTCAGATAGAGGGAGTGCGTTGGGTTTTTGTAGTGATTGGGGTCATTTGTGTTGAGTTTGCTTTTGTTTTTAAGGGGCTAAGAAAAAGCATTTGATAAGAGTCTAAATAAACCATCAAACACAGTGTGAACTTGTATTGCATTTCGCAAAGACTAACACCATTCCACTATCACCGCCTGGTTGAGCATTGGGCAGGGTCAAGAACTGAGCTCAAAGGGAACTCAGTCCTGTAACCAAAGATGGAAGAGAGGCTGGCCATCAGTGATGCTGGCCACCCCCGTGCCCACTCCCCAGGGACCTCCAGAAGGCTTGATACTAACAAGAGAAAGGCGGGAAATCAAGGTCGGACCAGCTCCGGGCTTCCGCATGTGCACTGAACAGCACAGACAGAACAGCACTGGGTGAGACGCACAGAACACAAGGCTGGGCTAGGTTCCAATGAGAAGATCTTGTTTCCTGACAGGGAGAGCTAGGACTAGTGCTGAATGGAAGCCTCAGTGGGCACGGCTGCCACCACCCATCCCCAGCCACTCTCCCAGGGTCATGTCACAGGGCTGCTGTTTTCCTCTGGTGACCATCAGTTGCCTGTTCCATCTGATACCATCTGACCAGAAGGGGAGGGCCTGCCCACAACAAGCCTCCTTGCCCTCCATCCCTGTCCCAGAGCCTGAGATGCCAGACTGAGATCCACCCTGGCGATTCCCATACGTGGCGACACTCACCTTTGATGTTTTTCACTTGGCTCTGGGTAATCGAATCAAAATCGATCTCCATCAGAGACCTCAGGAAATTCGGGTCGGACATCATGCCCTTGGCGGTTTTCCAGTTGAGCTCTTTGTACCCCTTCATGATGAGGATGCATTCACAGACCGTCTGCACCTGCTTCGGGGGCTTAGCAAACGACCTGGCGAGAAACGGAGAAACCAAGGCACACGTGGGTCAGTCCAGGGATGTGGCCAGGATCTGGCCTGAAAGAGAGCTCCAGAAAAAGGAGCTCAACTAAAAGGCAGTCCCTGGAGCTGATGCTGCATGGAAACGAAAGAAGCCAGGTCCCAACACAAACCGCACTCCTGGGTGGGAGCGTCCCTAAGGGCGGGGCCGGGTCCCCCTCTCAGGTTCCAGACCAGGCGCCTGGAACTCAGCTGAATCATGGTGCAGGGACAGCATTAAAATACAAACCCAGGCCATCCCCGGAGCGTCTGGATCAGTGGTTAGGGTGGAGCCTGAGCACCTATGTTTTAATTACACCCTCGGCTGATTCCTCAGACTCTAAATGGTGGTTGCTGTCATTATTGTCATTATCATCATCATCACCACTATCACTACCACCATCATCTTTCCCCATTTACTAGATGGAGAAACAGGGTCCCAGGAGCTTCCATGACTGGCTGTGCTGACACCACCTGCGAGGCCTGGGGTCCCTGCATCCTGGGCTCTTTCCAGCCTATGCTGCCCCGTAATTGTTCTCTGTGGCTTTGGTAAGACCAGATCATCACTCTGCTCCTCCAGAACTCAGATGTCCACTGCCCTTGGTCCTCTGGAGAACCAGAACTGCCAACGGAGCAGGAGACAGAACAGCAGCGCTGGTGCAAAGGCCGGAGAAGGACCCGAACCCATCTCACTGGGGCATCCTGCTGCCAGGCAAGCTCAGTGAAAGCCACAGAAGTCTCCCAGACCACGCTATGGAAAGACAGAAGTGGAAGGAGAATAGCACAGAGAAGGCAAAGCAGGAAAGGAAGGAAAAGGAGAGAAGAGCAGGAGACAGAGGCCCCAGAGGACACGGAAGCAGTATGGGGGCGGCCAGGCAGGGGCCCAGGCATTTGGGCTCTGGTAGGAGGCTGGGGTGAGCCAGAGAAGAACGAGGGGAATGGAGGGACAGAGAGGGAGACACATGCACAAGGATAGAGACAGAGATAGGGAGACAGGGAGGAGACAGAGAGACAGGGAGGAGACAGGGAGACAGGGAGGAGACAGGGAGACAGGGAGACAGGGAGACAGGGAGCAGACAGCCTGAGCAGACAGCAACCTGGAGGCTTTCTGCAATGAGCAAATCCCCCACCCCTCCTGACCCCGGCACGCTCACACACTCCCACGCAGGCAGCAGAGGAGAGAGGGCCCCATAGTGTACGGACAAGCCAGGGCAATGGCCGGGAGGGAGGGCGCCCACACTTCAGCACAAAGCCCAGTGATGAAGGAAATGGCCCTGAGTCACCAGGGAAAGGCTCGATTATGCTGGTATCGGCTGCTTAGGAAAGTGGCAGCAGCCTGTCCGAGTGTCTTTAAAAGGTTCCTTCAGGGTGGATGGAAACCAGGCCCCAGCCACTGCTCTGTGAACAAGCAGGTAGGGAAAGAATGGGGGAGATGTTTTCAGATTCAAGACAGAAAGAGCCCAGGCCTGAGGCGGGGTCCTGAGCCCTTGGGCAAGTTAGGAACCAGCCAGGGGTGTCAGTTTTCCCATCTGTAAAGTAGAGACACAGAACCAGACCCTTCCAGTTCCCAAATCCTCTGAGTCTATGAAAGTGAATTTTTCTGCTGTTGTGTTACAGGCCACGCTCTGGGATCTCACTTATCGAGAACACACCACTTTCCACAATGCCGGATGACCGAGGTGTGTGAAATATTGAGGGTGCAAGTCAAGAGAAATGGAGATGTCTGTTTAATTTGATTCCTTTCTTCTATCACCAAACAAACTTGGGAATGAGAAAGGGAGAATGATATGCTACCCTCCCTAGAAGAAAATAATCATTTTAAGCCCCACTCCCCGCCTCCCAGTGCTCTACCCCTGACACAGCAGCTGTCTCTGCTCTTTCTCCAGCCGAGCTCCTTGCAGCCTCAGAGAAGCTGCCCCCTCCACCCTCCATGACCATGACTAGGTCAGGTCCCAACATCCACTGTCAGAGCAGCAAGGACCTTTCCTTCCTAACCTAATCCTACATCATTTCCCCATGCACATGGGATTCCTATAGGAAAACAGAGTGTCAGCTCCATGCAGTGAAGGCCCTGCCTCCCTGTCTCACTGCTGATCGGCCCCAGTGCCTGCTCAGGGCAGGGGTGGGGTGGGGTAGGGGACAGACACCCAATGACTATTGAATGAATGAAAGGAAGAAAAGTAAAAATCAAAAGCCAGCAACAAAGGGAGCCTTTTATACTTTTATAGTTAGAGAAACATCTACTTCTAATCTTCATGACTCTTCATCTTCCTGCCTTAACATTTAATGTTTCCACAAAGAGGATTGAGTATGATAAGAAGGAAACGCTTTTTAAGGACTTAAAAGATTATAAAATTGTCAAGATGTAAGTGCTGGCTCATTGTGCTTAACATCCAAATGACCTGAGAAAAGCCAGATTTTAGTCATCTGGAAAAACTCAAATTGGATCCAAACTCACACAAAACCCCAGGAAAAAAATCCTCAATAGATAAAAGATTTAAATATGAAAAATTAAACCATAAGAATACAAAAAGAAATCATGGGGAAATTATTTTACAATCTTGCAGTGTAATCAGGTCTTTTAACTAGGACACAATATCCAAAAGCCACAAAATAGGTTGGGTGCAGTGGCTCATACCTGTAATCCCAACACTTTGGGAGGCTGAGGTGGGTGGATCACCTGAGGTCAGGAGTTCGAGACCAGCCTGGCCAACATGGTGAAAGCCCATCTCTACTAAAAATACAAAAATTAGCCGGGCATGGTGGTGGGTGTCTGTAATTCCAGCTACTTGTGAGGCTGAGGCAGGAGAATCGTCTGAACCTGGAAGGTGGAGGTTGCAGTGAGCCGAGATTGCACCACTGCACTCCAGCCTGGGTGACAGAATGAGACTCTGTCTCAAAAAATTAATTTAAAAAAAGTCACAAAATAAAATATTGCTAAAATCTGCCACATAAAAATAAACATACATGGCAAAAACAAACACACACACAAACCTCCTAAACAAAGTCAAATGGCCCATGGCAAACCAGGAAAAGATCTGCAACTCACCTTATGGATAAAAAGCTGATCTCCCCATTGTATAAAAAAGCCCCTGGAAATGGTTTTGAAACAAAAAGCAACAATAACCACAGCCCAACAGATAAGCAAACCAAGTTCACAGAAAAGGAAATACACATAACTCGTAGACACATTTTTCACATAGGAAAAAAAAAGGCCAGCCTCACTCACATTAAGAGAAATGCAAATTGAAACTACACAAATACCACTTTTCATCTACAACATGTGAAAAATCCAAATGTGATCGCTCCCCCTGTTGGTGAGTCTAGGAAAAAGCAGGTACTGCTCACTTGGATTGTTGGTGAGGATAAATAGGTTCCATTCCCATGGCTGGGACTAGGCAACAGCTATGAACATTATAAATGCCTACACCCCGGAACCCAGCAATTCCACTTCCAGAAATGTATCCTGCAGGTGGACTCTCCCAGGTGCACAATTAACTATGCTCAGGTTTATTCTTTGCCACGCTATTTGTAAACGCAAAAGACTGGAGACATAATCAACTTATTTAACAAACTCATCAGTAAGGGCTTGTTAAATAAATTATGGCACAGCCACACAATGGAATGTGGAGGAATGTTCTAAAATATCAGGGAAGTTCATCATATATCAACACGCAAAAGATCTCCAAAATATATTGCTAAGCAGAAAAGATGCAGAAAGATATGCATAGGGTCTTACAGTTTGTATATAAAAGAAGGATAAAAGGATTTGCAGGTATATCTTGCTCTCCAAACCCTCAGAACCTGAAGTCAGGAACAGAAGAGACCCTTGTGTACCTGGTTGCCTTGGTCATGCATGAAAATCCTCGGGATGTGTATACGAGAAATGATATACCTACACTACCTGTTGCAGCGTGGGAAGGTGACCAGAGCTGATAGAGGACACAGTGGCCGTGGGCTTTTCCCAGCATACCTTTTGGATGCTGGAGCCATAATCACGGCTAATGCTTACACGGCTCTGACCATGTGCCCAGCCCAGTTCTTCACATATAGGCTGATATGATCCTCATGAAGACACTGATGCAGCCGAGACAATTCTTATTCACATTTTACAAATGAAGAAACTGGAGCACAGAGAAGTTAGATGACTTGCTAAACGTCGCACAGCAAAGAGGCAGAGCCATGTATGAATGTGTAAAAATTATTCCTTTTGTACTTTGGCTTTCTCAGGGGTGAGCTGGGCACCTGTCTGCAATGCCTGTCTCACTGCAGGGGACGCACGTCAAGCTCTCTATCTGGTCCCATGGAAGCTCCTTCCCACCCCTCCACCTTGGCTTGATGGAAGGGACTCACCCTTCCTTCTCTTCAAATAAATTCCCTTCAAAAATCCTTCCTAGTCTCTGCTCTCACGATGTTTTTATGCTGCTGACCTGGGAGTGGTGCCTCAAATCCTATTACCGGTAGCTAGATATTCCCCTGAGAGAATGTGTGTGCAGACCGTGTCTCCTACCCTCCGCTGGGTGTGCACTTCCACTGTGTCCTGGCACCTCAGCCTCAACTTTCAATGCTTAGTGCTGAAGTTTTAATACATCCATCCTTATACCTTCCTTGACACCATTCTCAACACTGAAATAACGACTTCTTGCTGACAACAGTGGCACCTCCAAGTGACCTCCCAAGAATGAACTAGGTCCCCTGTCCTGGAATGAGCTGAATTCTGTGTTCAAATTCACAAATGTTTCATTAACAAGAAAACAAGGGCACGGCCTTGGATAAGGAGTGCTGCTCAGCCTTCACAGGCAGCACAGAGCCAGAGAAACAGGAAGCGCGGGGAACACGCACTACTCCCCCGGGAGCCCAGAACGGAAGCCCACTACTGACCCAGGAATGGAGCCTCTTGGATGCGAGACCTGGGTGTGGGGCTAGGAAGACTGATCTTCCGGATGAAGAGTGAGGAAGGAGAGAACTGAGGCTCCCACGCCGGGGGGTCTGTGTGGGGCCAGGCAGCACAGGGGCAGAGGAGTGGGCAGAGGCTGGCACCAGAACATTGTTCCCTCCTTGGGCTTTACTCACAAGACTCAACGGACCATCAGAGTCCAGGAACAGTGCCCTGGGGAGAGCGAGCCTCGTGGGGAGGAAGTTTGCTGGCCCGGGCCACACCAGGTCACCCTCGCTGACAGCAGATGAGCCCTCTGGTGTGGGGGACAGGGTCGTCTTACAGATTGATTTGCAAGATGTATGGGGGCCTCAATAGTGACCTACTCTCACCCTCCTTGAAAGCCTCCTTGGCCAGAAATGGATTCAGGCATCGCCAGTCTGGCCGTGGTGTGCACACATCTCTGCCGAGCTGTTTTCAGCAGGGCTCGCCCTGTGTTGAGCACTCTGCCCCTGCGAGGGCAGACACTTGCGCCCACGTGTTCCATGAAGAGCACTGTTTTACCCCACTCCATCCTTCCCTTGGCCTGGGTTCAAGGTCGGCAGGCCCTGCTTCCTACTAGCCAGGGGAGCTGGATGCCTGGGGTGCCGCCTCATCTCCCTGGGCCTCGCTTTCCTCATCCGAAAATGAGGGCAACAACAGTTCCCACCGCGGAGAGAGCCAGGCGCAGAGGCAGCGCGTGGTGTCGGCTCCTTCGTAAGCTCCTGGTCGCCACGATCATGGCGACTACTGGCCTGCAGAGGTGGAACGGAAGCCCAGAACGGCGGCCCGGGCGCGTTACCTAATCTCAGTCACGTCCGACTTGTCCAGCTTCTGCAGCTCCAGCTTCGCGGCCTCCAGGATGGGCATGACCTCCTCCAGGGTCGTCTCGGCCTCAGCCTTCTCCATGGCAATGACCTTGTTCTGCTCCTCTATCTCTATGGCCTTTTCCTCCGCCAGTTTCTTCTTCTCCTCAGCTGCAGGGTGGGGCAGGGGTGAGTACACTTGGGCTCAGAGGAGATGCACTCGCGGCCACCGGCTCTGAGCAGAGTGCAGTCCTTAAAGGTTGGCTTGAGCCTCACTGGGGATCTAAGGAGCTTTGGACAATGTGGCAGCCTTGGTGATCCTGGTGGGACAGAAAACCCCACCGTGCATGGAGCCTCCAGCACCAGGCAGCCACTCTGACTCCGACCTTCCTCAACTGGCCCACCTGTGTCCCACCCACTCCATCCAGGACAAATCCCGTGGCTCCTGACAGCCCCCAGCCCTGCCTCACCGGTGTTCACTGAGGATGCTGGGGGCCCCCTTCCGCTTACCGGTTCCCTGCGATCTCCTCCTTCTGCCTCTCATCGCCTCTTCCTACGCTCACTCGGGCCCAGCCAGAGCCGCCCTCTAAGGAGGCTGCCCCCCGTCACCTTCTCTCTCCCTGCCTTGCCGATTTGCTTCATGACACCGATCACAATCGGGAAGTTTCACTTCACCGTTGACTGATTCACTGTCTGGGTGCCCTCACTCAGTAGGATGTCAACACCTCCCCAAGGGCTGGAACCCCAAAACCTAGAGCAGGGCTTGGCTCACAGTGGTTTGAACAGTGTCACGCCACCAAAATTCGTGCCCACTGGGACCTCAGGATGTGACCTTATTTGGAAGTGGGGTCTTTGTAGATGAAATTAGTTAAGATTAGGTCATACGGGGTTAGGGTGGGCCCTAAATCCGGTGCCTGGGGTCCCTATCAGGCGGCCATGTGGAGACACACAGGGAAGAGGGGCGTGTAGCAATGGAGACAGACACTGGAGCGGTGCATTTATAAGCTAAGCTAAGGAATACCAAGGGCTGCCAACAACCCTGGGAAGCTGGAAGGGGCATGAAAGAGTCTTCCCCTAGAGCCTTCAGAGGGACGTGGTCCCGGCACCTTGATGTCAGACTTCGGCCTCCAGAACTGTGAGAGAATACATTTCCGTTGTTGGCCGGGCGTGGTGGCTCACACCTGTAATCCCAGCACTTTGGGAGGCCGAGGCAGGTGGATCACCTAAGGTTGGGAGTTCAGGACCAGCCTGGCCAACATGGAGAAACCCCGTCTCTACTAAAAATACAAAAATTAGCTGGGCGTGGTGATGGGCGCCTGTAGTCCCAGCTACTCAGGAGGCTGAGGCAGGAGAATCGCTTGAACCCAGGAGGCAGAGGTTGCAGTGAGCTGAGATGGCGCCACTGCACTCCAGCCTGGGCGACAGAGCGAGACTCCGTCTGAAGAAAAAAAATTAATTAATTAATTTTAAAAACTAAATGTCTGTTGTTTTCAGCCCCCAGATCATGGTGCTTTGTTACAGCAGCCCCAGGAGATGCATGCAGCAGGCCTTCTGCAAACAGAGGCTGGCTGCAGAGGCTCTGCCTCCCCCATGCTAAGGTCTCTCGGAATCCATCTCCACAGCTAACAAGCCAGCATTGGCACTTGCAGTGTGCAAAGCCGTGCACGGGCCCTGACACTGTAAAGGTCCCCAGCCCAGGCACTGCTTCTCCCTGGGGCAGCAGGGGGATGAATGCGTCAGAAAAGGGTAGCAAGATCACAAGTGTGGAACCTTCAGAACAGAAGAGCAGAAGAAAGGAAGCTGTCTAAGCTGTGAGCATGCCGAGGCGGGGGTGGGGCCAGCAGGAACAGAGCACAGAGGTAACAGGACCACCAGAGCTGGCTGGGAAGGAAGAGGGCTGGTACAGGCCTCGGGAACCTCAGGGTGGGGAGCAGCCTGCAAAGGGGTCCGGCCAAGCCAGGTGCTTGAGTCATGTTGAGGAGCAAAATGATGGGCTCTTTCAGCCAGGCAGGAACACAGGCTAGAGGCTGGGGCAGGTGCTGAAGAGCCACCCTCAGAAGAAACAATTGTTTGCACCCCACCCTACCCTCTGCAGGACTTGTCAATGTATCCCATTCCTATGGCCACCATTGGTTTGGGCAAGGGCATGTGACTCAAATCTGTCCAATCACAGCCAATTCTGGGAGCTTTGTGGGAATGCATGGGAAAGAAGAGCCCTCTCTCCCCTGGGGATGCTGAACTAATAGGATGCCAACCTCATGCGGGAGGCTCCCAAACTCTCAGCATGGACAGAGCCTGCTGCCTGAGATGAAGCCTAAACAGAAGACAGCAGAGCCAAGAAAGGGAAGGAAAGATTCCCACTGATACACTTGAGTCCTAGATCCAGCTGTGCCTGAAGCCAGGATGCCTCTGGAATCAATGTGTTTCCACTTTAGATTAAGCCACTTTGAGCTCAGTTTCCACCATTTGCAACCAAAATAGTCCTGATCAGGACAGGCAGCCTGGAAACAGAGATCCTAGATGAAGCTTCCTCCAAAATTCCAAGTGGGAGCAAGGTGACCCTGGACAAGGATGACGGCAATGGGGAAAGAAAAGCAACCACAGGTAGGAGAGGCACTAAACATGGGTGTGGCAAACAGGTCGTCCTCAGTACAAACTGCAGCCTGGGCACTGGGGGAGGGGCTCTCTTGGTTGTGAGCTTCTTCGAGGCAGGGGTTGAGTCTCATTCAGTTTCTAGCCCCCACTCTCCCTACCATGGTGCCTGCCATGAAGCTGAAGTCAGTATCTGCTGATTGGACAGATGAATACGTGGAATAACAGCTTCCTTCAAGACACTTCCAGTCTAGTTTTACATCTAAGGGGCCAGGAATGTATAGTTTTTTACATCTAGGGGGCCAGAAATATATAGTTTTTAAAAGGCAGATCAAAGCAAAGTGCAGTTATGTGGGAACGAGGCATTTGATCAAAGTTCTGGTAGAAGAAACACGGATAGGAAGAGAGACGTGGTATGGATATTCTCAGCAGACCGAAGGGAGAGGAAGAGCAAATTACTGCAGGACTCACACGGGCATGAAGAGGTGATGCTGTGAGCAGGCGACAGGGTGTCATGGGAAATTAGGTGGGCAAGATGACATAGAGGAATTAATGGGACCCTTCATGGCCACAATGAGGACTCAGCATCAAAACAGGCAGCAGGGAGTTGCCACAGATTCCTGGGAAAGGATATCTATCGATTAAGTTGCTTTGGTTGCAAGCAACAGAAGCTAACAATGGTCGAGTTAAGAAAAATGTGAAATTGTTATAAGAAGACACGGTAGCTCACGGACATGGAAGATGCTGAAACACATAAACCAGGGGCGCCTCGGGGATCTGGGCTCAGTCACTGAATGCAGTCTCTTCACAGCGCTGCCATGCAATATATGAACTCAAATAATCTTCAGTCTTGTTGGCTGACTCAAAATGTGCAGTCCCAGATAACTTCTAATTGGTCTGCCAGGGTTAGAATAAGCCCATCCTGATGGCAGGCACTGGGAGTTGGGGAGAGGCAGTTTGCCAACACCAAGTTAGGGTGCTGTTGCCAGAGTGATGACAAATGGATCCTGTGCACAAGGCCGGGTGCAATGACAAAGGAACTGAACGGAGATGACACTTAGCAGCAACACAAACACAGACCAGCAGAAGAAGGAAGAGGCAGGCAGGTCGAGTAGCATCTGCAGGAATCTGAGAATGAGCTGGGGCGGGTACACATCAGAAACCAGTGGCCCAAAGACCTAGAGAGGAGGGTGAGAGGCCAGGCACAGAGCTGTGGGCTCCAGGAGCTGTCCTGTGCCAGGCATCACAAGAGGGTAGAGTCGTCAAGAGCAGGACAGTGCAGGTGACACAGAGCCTTGGCCAGGAAGACCGAGGGAAGGAGCCCAAGAAAGAACCTTGAAACAGCTTCAAGGGGAGCCAAGAAAAGTCCCACATCGATGACGCCAAGGCTTAGGTCATTTCAACCCCACGAACTTAGTTCACCAGCCCATTGAGGGTCGAGTGACTTTTCCATTCCCTGGCACATCCTCAGACTACCAGCGCACGGGCCTACATAGACACTACATATGGTAGCGTCTCAGTGCTTATGAAAAGGGATGAGACTGGCTGGACACGAATTCAGAAAGAAACAGGAATTGCAGGGTCAGGATGGCACCCTCGGTGCCTACAAGCAGTTTCGCAGGGACGTCCCGGCAGAGCCCTGTCCTGCTGGGGGATGGGCTGCCCTGGCCCCCACCCTCACTCACCTACAGTGGTGTGGGGGATGGGCTGCCCTGGCCCCGGCCCTTACCCACCTACAGCAGTGTTGACGGCGATCTCCTCCAGCAAGGCCTCGCAGGCGGCAGACTTCTCGGCCAGCACGATCTTCTGCTCGGCCAGCTTCTGGTTCAGCTCGTCCAGCTGGATGGTGGCCTCCTTCAGCTTGTCCAGTCCCCCGTCCAGACGCTTGCACTGAGCTGAGGAAAGAGGGCACCTATGTTCATTGTCGAGGTGGCCACTGTTCCCAACACAATCACTGGGATTTGCCTAACTTCAGCTTATCAAAACAAAACAAAACATTTTTACAAGATGGCACGTGTCTTTCGGTACCTCCACTGCCATACTGGGATGGCATCAGCCAAAATGAATATATATCTGAAAACAGTGCTTCCCTTGGCCAATAGCCAGAGCACTTTTTAAAACGCCCTGTCCAGCAGTGCATGCTGCTGCAGCAGACAGTATCTCCAATGTGTGCCAGGCACACCTGTGGTCCCAGCTACTCAGGAGGCTGAGGTGGGAGGAGCACGTGAGCCCAGGAGGTCGAGGCTGCAGTGAGCCATGATTGCATCACTGCCCTCCAGCCCGGGAAACAGAGACCCTATCTCTAAGATAAAAATCAAAATTGAAACATTGCTAATGTGATGAAAACGTAAAGCTTCAAAGTGTATGACTCAACACTGAGAATAAAAACAAGGACATGCCAGGGTCCTACCCACATGAAAGAATTGCTCCAAGACGCAAAATCCGAGATGTGCTTCGCTTGGCCTCAATACTGAAGATGGCTGATCTTACTAAAGAAAAGATCAGCGTTCGAATCTTTACCATAAATAAGAATGACCTCTGTCAACCACCGCATCCCCCAGGCTCACCTATATTATACTGAGTTTTCTCATCCAGCAATTTTGAATAGGTGTGAATAAAATCAAGGTAGTTCTTGGGAGTGACATAGTTGCTGCGCCTCAATTTCTGTAGAAACTGTTTGCTGTAGTGACCCACGGACTGGTGAACCAAAACAACATGCTTTACCACATTTTCTATATTTTCTGCCGGGATCATTGGATTACGCCCTGAAGAGGAAGGAATAAAAAATGTATTTTTCTTTTCTCTCTTTCCTCCTTTCTTTCTTTCTCTCTTTTTTTTTTTTTTGACACAGGCTCTCACTCTCTTGCCCAGGCTAGAGTGCAGTGGCGTGATCATGGCTCACTGCAGCCTCCATCTCCCGGACAGAGGTGATCCTCCCACCTCAGCCTCCCAAGTAGCTGGGACTACAGGCGTGGGCCACCATGCCTGGGTAATTTTTTGTATTATTTTGTAGAGGCAAGGTTTCACCCATGTTGCCCAGACTGGTTTCAACTCCTGAGCTAAAGCGATCGGCCCACCTCAGCCCCACAAAGTGCTGGGATTACGGGTGTGAGTCACCGCACCCGGCCATGCTTCTTAAGAAAGGAAAACAGTGGCTCTTCAAAGAGTCAAATATAAAATTATTATATGACTCAACAATTCCACTCCTAGGTATATACCCCAAATAACTGAAAAACAGGGACTCAAATGAATTCTTGTATGCCAATGTTTACTGTAGACTATCACAATAGCCACAAGGTGGAAAGGACCCAAGCGTCCAGCAGTAGAGGAATGGGTGAACAAAATGTATCCTATCTATACCGGGGATAGTATTCACTTGTAAAAGGAATGAAGTTCCGATGCTGAAACATGGATGAGCCCCAAAAACGTGATGCTAAGTGAAAGATGCCAGACACCAAAGGACAAATACTGCATGATTCCACGTACACGAACCCTCTCTAGAATAGGCAAATTCATACAGACAGAAAGTAGATTCGAGGTTGCCAGGGGCTGGAGGGAGGGGCGGCGGGGAGCTAGTGTTTAATGGGTACGGAGTTTCAGTTTGGGATGATGAAAAAGTTTTGGCGGCAGATAGTGGTGTTGGTTTCACAACATTACGAATGTGATTAGTGCCACATGAACATTTCAAAATGCTTAAAATGGAACGTGTTAGGTTACATATATTTTACTGTGGTAAAAAAAAGATGCTAAAGTTTTTAATAGGACAAGAAAAGAACAGCTATCACTTATTGGTGGCTTTTCAGGACCACAGCAGTGATCCATGCCAATCCTTTTTTGTTTGTTTGTTTGTTGTTTTTGTTTCTTGAGACAGGGTCTTACTCTGTTGCCCAATTCCTTCCCTACTGTTAGGAAGCCCTGTCTTCCCTAAAGGCCAAGACGCCATGGCAGAAGAGCCTTGGGTTTTCAGAAGCAATCACCACCTCTGTCTCTGCCTGTTGCGCTCCCCGCCCGCCCAGGGGCTGGGTGGGATTGTTCAGTTACCCACCACTGGATGACACCCAGCACATACTGGCAAGGGTGGGCCTTCCTATACACCCGCTGAAAGAATTAATGATGGCTTCCAGTGTCAAGATCACATCACCTAGATTATCTGATAGGCTGTTAAATGCATTCAGCTCAAAGCAGAGAATGTTTCACGTTAAAACGAAGGAAGGAAAGACAGATTGAAAGTACCGATTAATCCAGATTCTGCAGAGCTGGTCTTGTTATTCCGGGGTTAGCAAAACACAGCCCCAGGGCCTATTTTACAGTGTGCAGGAAAAACTGTGCCTCACAAATACCTGTGCCTTTGGGCATAGTCATCTCAATTCCAGACAATATATTCTCTCTCTCTCTCTCTCTCTCTGTGTGTGTGTGTGTGTGTGTGTGTGTGTGAGAGAGAGAGAGAGAGAGAGAGAGAGAGGGGTCTCACTCTGTTTCCCAGGATGGAGAGCAGTGGCACGAACTTGGCTCACTGCAACCTCTGCCTCCTGGGCTCAAGCAATTCTCATGACTCAGCCTCCTGAGTAGCTGGGATTACAGGTGCCCGCCACCACACCCGGCTAATTTTTGTATTTTTAGTAAATATGGGGTTTCACCATTTTGCCCAGGCTGGTCTCAAACTCCTGGGCTCAAGTGATCCATCCACCTCGGCCTCCCAAAGTGCTGGGATTAGAGGTGTGAGCCACTGCGCCCGGCCTCCAGGGAGTATATCCTAAGGAAAAAGAGTTCTAAGCAAATTCTAGGCAGCATTATTTATGATGCTGGAACACTGAATACTGAAAGCAAACACAAGCACTTCACACATGAAAATGGCAAATACACCTCTGAGAACAAGGGTACATCTGTATCGGGGCTGGCCAACTACAGGCCAAAGGACAAACCCAGCCCACCCCGTTTTTGTAAATGAAACATAGCCATAGCGATTCATTTACGTTTTGTCTATGACTGCTTTCATGATAACATGGCAGAATTGCGTAGCTGCGAAAAAGCTGTAAATATTTACTATCTGGACCTGAGATATATCATCAGAAAAGAGTCATTCTCTTGGCCCCTTTTCCCCTAAAACTGCATTATGATTAAAGTTATGATTTCTTCTTATGGCTTTCGAAATTTCCTAGCGTTTCAAACGCCTCAAGACACACCTTTGGATATCAAATTTTTTTTCTTTTTTTTTGAGACGCGGAGTTCTCGCTGCTGATCCGCGCAGGCTTGGAGTGCAGGGCCCGAATCTCAGCTCACTGCCTAGCTCCACCTCCCGGTTTTAACCTATTCTCACTGCCTCAGCTCGCCGAGTTAACTGGGACTAACAGGCCGCCCGCCACCGTCTCCCAGCGAGGTTTTTTTGTATTTTTTAGTAGAAGAACAGGGGTTTCACATGTTAGCCAGGATGATCCTCGATCTCCTGACCTTGTGATCCACCCATCCGGCCATCCCAAAGTGCTGGGATTACAGGCTTGAGCCACTGCGCCCGGCCCGTGATATTTATTTTAATCTTTGAAGAAGAAGGAAGTCTGGCTTCAGGCGGAACAATCTTTTTCTTTGGGCCTAACTTGGAGCAGTTTATGAGGAATTGACACCTGGGTAACCTTGAAAATGAGTTTCACCTTATAAATCTGTACTCAATAA